TTGATTTACAAAGATGTGAACAATGTTCAAGCTGAAAGAGGGAAGGGGTTGGAAACCTAGAGTGGGGCGGTATATGGAAAGAGCCCCTGACAGGCTGACAGGAGCTGTAGCCTGTGGTACAAAGATGTTGTCAATCCATGGAAACTGGGCAGGGAAGTAGAGGGGAATAAATAGACTGAACTCTTCTCCTCCACCCATCTTATCTCTAGCCACAAGGCAAAACAGCCTGCAGGATCGTTCCTTAGAAGTTTGCTTCCTGGAGCAAGAATGGAGTAAATAAATGTAGAGAGGGGATAAAGAAGGGAAAACCAGACAACAATTACCAGACATTTTTCTTGGCTATGTTTGGGTTCATAGGCTTTGTTGTGACTCACAAAGTGTTTCTTCCTCATCTATGCTTCATACAGTGTTTGACACTCCTCCCATTATGTGCTACTATTAGTGTGTGTATGTCTGCTTTTCCTGCTACTTTAACAGTTTTCTGAAAGTGAGGGCTTTGTCTTGTTCACCTTTGTACCCACAGTATCTGTGTGCTTGGTCCATCATAGGTGATTAATAAATGCTACAGATTATAAACCTAAGATGAGAATTGTGAATTCTTATCCAAGTCCTATAAGTCAACATACAGTATTCTTATTGCTCTGTAAAATGTTCTACTGTATATGGGCCGATAGAGTTAGAAGGCTCACTTACCATCACTACAACAAATCTCCTGATACTGATACAGTGAAAATTGGTTTTCTACTTTCATTTTCTACTTAAAGGTCATCAATTTCAGGTTGTGTTACACATTCCATTCAGTGAGCACTAAACTCTGTCATCAGAAGAGGAAGAACAGGCAATGAAGGGCAGACGAGGCAGCTAAGAGCTACTCGTAATCAAACTGCAGTTGGCTGTCTACGGAGTTCAGTGGCCTTGGGATGAGATGCTATGCTTTGCCTTCCTGCCATTGTCACGTGGGGATCTGGCTGCCAAACAGGGTCTGGAGTACGCTTAGTTTATGGAAAAACTGTCTTATTTTACTTTCTGACATTTTCAAAGCGCTAGGTAAGGATAATGTGGTCAGTTTGATTTATGATAATTGTTTTGGTTCCCATAGAATCACATGTTGAAGAATCACAGGGACTGACAGTCTGGGGAAAAATGTAAATGTCATAATTTTGTTAATTGTTTTAGCATGTGTTTCTTCCACATGTCTGAAAGCAAATGTAATTGAGGGTTGTGGTTTCTGAGCTATGGCCAATAGTGCAATGTGACTAACAACTGAGCAAAACATCATGGGAGGTCACGTGGTAGAGAATCATTTATCTTTTTCTTCCTCTTGCCAAAGTGAAGTTTTTTCAGCATTTAAGTATGTTACTAGAGTATGAAAAGAAGAATTATGCAAATTGAGCCCTTGAATTAGTACTCCTAACCAGATTTTAAAACACAGATAAAATGTACTTTTAAGTTCTGTGGCTATGGCATTCCATCCTACAGTTTTCTATTTCAAAAATTGGATTTGCAAAAAAGAAAACAGCTCTTTCAGTTCATTTTGATGATGATAAGGGTCTTTCTCAAGCAAATGAATATCAGGAAATTCAAATACTAGTATAAAACCATAATCTCGCCTCACCTTGTTGCTACAAAGCATAATAACTCTATTGAGAACTCTGAAAACCAGTGGGTGATCTGGCCCCAGACATCATATATTATTTCTTATTGTTATAATAGGAATTCATGGTTTCAAGGTAAAGTTAAAAGATAATCTGTTTTTGCCTTTGTGCAAGCAGTCAGGTTGCTGCTAGCACAAAGCAGAAGCTGAGTTCGCTTTCTCTGAGCGCTCTAGAAATCTTCCTGGTTTGGGATGGACTGCAAATGCTGTTAGCATATTTCCTGGTATTCCAACCTTGTGCAAATTGCACAGTAAGTAGATCTTTGAAGAGCAAGCATCTGGTAGCCAGAACCCCACAAAAGACTTTCCGATAGCATAAGCAAACTTTCTGCTGATTTTCAGGCTGTTTTCTCCTTGTTTTATACTACTCCTGTTTCTCTCCCCACGAGTTGGGGATTAACAAATATTTTTGTCACAATGAACATTTAACTGAACTGATCATCTGTGGTCTAGCAGGTCAGGTTGGAGGAAGCTTCTGCAGATGTGTATTCTCCCATCCCCCTGCGTCCCTCCCCCTCTTCCTGCCAACTAGCCCCATAGCTGCTATCTCTGAGCAGTAGGAGAGAATGGAAAGTCTGTGTGGGCTAGCAATGGCTGACGTGTTATTGGAAGTAATGCCAGATGCCTACTTCCCCCAAAATTCAAATTGCAGAGAGCAGAGGAATGAAGGAAAGCTTGAACAGAGTTTCCAACTATTTTAGGGAGCTGAGTAAAGGCTTTGAAGGGCATGAAAGATTATCCAAATACCTACTTATGTGATCCCAAGCACAATTTTTTTTTTAAAAGAGAGTTTAAAATTTACATTGTATTCTCAACAAGTTTGAGCTATAAAAAGGTTTTAAGACTGACTGTTGTCAAGAGACTAGGTTTAATTAAATGATTTATATTTTAAAAATCCAAGAGCTGAAGGGAATTCAGAAATGAAGGGAATTAAGAAATAATACAAGTAGAATAAACAAGAAGAAAGTAGGGATTACAGAGAGACCGGCAGCCTACCACTTTTACTTAAGACATGGTATAGTGAAGTGGTACCTGGGTGATGCCACCTCTGCCAGATAAAATGCATCTTTTTGAAGCACTTTGAGGCTGATTTAGTCACTTCTCTAAACCAATATGTTCTCTTTCTCTTTCTTGATATGTTTTATAAAATATGTTTTTGTATAATCTTGATGATGACATTGCACACTAAAATATTTAAATTATGATTGTAGATTATTAATATCTTAATTTGAAATAATTTGGTGATTATGGGTGGTTTGAAATTTCATACTCACCTATATTTTACATATATTTAAAATAAGCATATCTTAATTTACATAAGAAAATGAACAATAATTTAAAATTATTTTCACACTTCTAAGAAGTTAGTTATCAGATTGTTAAAGCCCTCAGAAACAGCCACATTTTTACTGCGCAAAAGGCACCAAATAAAAGCTGAAACAGCAGATGTGGATAAATTTCATATTAATTTATAATGTCCACTGTCACTATAATGAAAAATGACTTGTTCATAGTAACTAGTGAGATGACTTGATACAATGAAACACAATCTGAATGAAGAGTAATTTCCATGTAAATCATTCATAATATTTATTCAGCTAAACGCCTTTTATCCATCTAACGTATATGTTGACAATCCATTATCGCTTTTCCTGCCAGTGTCTCCATAGGCACAATGTAACAGGGGCTCATGGTTACTTATATGTCTTTGCTGTGGTTTAGATGTGTGCCCCAAAGATCTTGTGCTAAAGGTTTGATCATCAGCTTGTGGCACTATCTAGAGGTGATGGAACCTTTTCAGAAGTGGGGTCTCTGGCAGAAAGCTCAGTCATTGGGAGTATGCCCCTGAAGGGAATACAGAGACTCCAATTCCTTTCTCTCTCTCTTTTTTGCTTCCTGGCTACTGTGAAGTGAGCAACTTCTTCACTATATGCTCTTGTCTTGATGTGCTGCCTTCTCACAGGTTCAAAGGCAACATGGTCCAAGTGGCCAAAGCCTGAAATAGTGGACCAAAAAAAATCTTCCCTCCTTTTAAGTTGAGTATTTCATGTATTATTATTTTTTTTTTGCAAACACAATCTTCCAGGTAGAACTCATCTTTGTGGTTATCTTTCAGGGCTGAGTTAGCCATTTGGTAGAAGAAACTATGGACAGACAGTTGCTTGAGGAACATTCTTAATTCTCTATCAGTTATACTTTTATTCATACTATGTAGCAACTGACCAGTTCTCATTTGAGGCAGAGGTCTTGATTATCCTTTATTTTCAAAGAATCTGAAAATCAACAATTACCCTTTTCCCCCAAATCCCAAATGTAGGGTGCTACCTCAAACAACAACCCAGGATATGGATCTAAGACTTCAGAGAACAAGCTCCTTTCACAATTAGGGGATTGGGAAGTACATATCAACATTTTCTTCATTACTATGAAAAGGATTACATAACTTACCTGATTCTTATTGCTTAACTGCCCAAAACAAAAATGCAATTAAAAAAAAGGTCACAAGGAATTCAAGTTTGACTATGAAACTACAAAGATGCTTCTAACTCTCCTGCTTGTGACATTTATTCCAATTTGGCCTTGCATATCTATTTTTGGTTATATCTCTAGTACTATAATTTTATTTATTCTTTTACCCTTTTTCATTATTATTGTTAAGTCCCCTAAAATCCTCTATGGACAGAGGCAAGGCAAAGATCCCAACATTTGGGTAGATAAGTGAACATATATAATAACTGGTAACAGCCAAGCTGGGATGTGGCTCAAGTGGTAGACCACTAGCATAATAAGCACAAGGCCCTGAATTCAAACCCTAGTACCACTTCCCTGCCCACCAAAAAAGAAGTGGTAACAACCACAAACTGAGGACACTGTACAGCTCCCTCTTCAGGCATTGACTCAGAAAGATTTCTCTTACTTTTTAAACCAGTACTAATTAGCCATTATGCCATTATGGGAGTATAAAGTAACATACAGATGGCCTTGTCTCTCTCAAGAGTTACAAAGGATTGTCTCTACCCTCCTGACTGTCCAGTTGTTTTCTGTTTCTTTCAGTGTCAGAATGGCTTGAGTTATAATTTGGGGAAGACATATGGCAGTGCCCTTTAATCTTTTCTTAATCATTGACCCTCTAAAAAAGTCTTTTAAGGCAATTTTTCTCTGATTGCCCTCTGCCCCCAACCCATGAAATTTAAGTAATACAGACAGACTATAATTTACTTATGTGACTATCAACTATCTATCTATATCTATCTATCTATCAGCTTTATATAAAATTATGGTGTTTTTCAAGGGAATTATTTTTACTCTCTTGCAGTGGTACCACCTCCAAAGAGAATGCATGTGGTGGGAGAATTGGCAAAGAATTAAGAGCAACCAAGATATGTGAGCTGATTATCGCCACCCTGTTTGCTAAGCTCTCACCATTCCCAGACAAGCAAACACTGTGGTTTCCAACTGCAAGCCCTGAAACTCTGCCTGAAGCCTTCTCTAGCTTCCAGGATTGCTGTGTTTCATGGCATAACAAGGCAGAAAGCCAAAACAGTTCATGACTCCTGGGGACAGGTCATAGATAAATAAACCTTGATTTCCTTTCCTTGTCTTTCAGTTTGGGTGATTTGGAAGAGTGTGCTGTATGCTAAGCAACGCTGAGCTCTAGCCACCTTGAGGTATTTAGCCAACCAACCTTTGGTTGGCTTCCTACCCATTCTGTCTCGCATTCATTCCTTTGTGGACACTTCTCAAGATTACCTCTCAAATAAGTCTTTTCCATTTCCATCCCTGTCTCAGGGTGGGCTTCTGGGGAAATGCCTACTTCTGAATGCTTTACATGTAAATGATTTTTACATTTGTTATAGGATGGAGATCTTACTCTAAAGCATGGTTTCTACAGTGATTTCTAGTCTCAATTTCTGGGGACATTTTTGTTGGTCACAACTGGGAGAGGGGAGGTACTATCTGCATTAAGTGGGGGGAAACCAGGCATAGCTAGGAGTGGTGGTGCATGCCTGTAATACCAGCTACTCAGTAGAGAGGTAAGACAATTATGATTTCGAGGTCAGCACAGACAAAGGTAGTAGTGAGACTATGTCTCAAAAACAAAAATAAAAACCAAAGCATTATAGTTAAAGTAGCAGAGTGCTTGCCTACATGCAAGACCTGAATTCAATCCCCAGTACCACAAAAACAAAACAAAACAAGAAACCAAACCAAAACAACATGAACAAAACCCCAAACAAGGATTATGCTAAATACCTCTAATCAGCAGGACAATCTCACACACTAGTACTGACATGGAGAAACCCTGCACTAGATTTACCTGTTTGAAGGACAAACTTTACACAATCTTGTAATCTTCATATTTTTCACTAGCTCCCAAATGCAACAAAATACAAAGCTATTCATCCAAGAAATATTTAATGATATGTCAATAGGATAAAAAAAGAAAAAAGACATAGTCCCTAAATTTCTTCTTTATCAGAAAACAGCAATTTCTTACTGCTTGAAAGCAATTATTTGACATATCTGCCTGATTACTCCACAGGTATCTCATACAGTCAAGTTCACTGGGAGGTGATCTGTTACATCTTGTTTCCATCACTGGCAGAGATTTTCTATTTTCTTATCTTCTTTAATTTCTTTTAGTGTTTTTGAGCCTTGAGTAGCTGTTGAGATAAAGTCATCCAATGTTATTAAGCATTTAGTGAGTATTTGTCATAGGAGTAAATTTGCAGAAAGGAGACTTTCCTAGGTTTGAACCCAATGAAGAGCTGCATAATGTTTAAATCAGATTTTTTAAAGGATTTACTATTACCTCCCAAACCATAACAAACAGTAGGTTGCTAGCATATTTAGAACATTTTTACTGAAGAGAATAAACATTTATTGCCAGCTGTGAAAGGGCAGATTTAATGACTGATGGAAAAATCACACTGCTTTGGCAGTTCACGTAAATAATAATTCATCAAAGAAACATGTGTTGATGAGTTCAGTCTGGTTTGAATTTAAACCACAGTGCATTCTTGGGAAACAGCTGAAGTACCTGAGCCTCATTAAAAAAATCTCCAACACATTCTTTAACCATATAAACAATCTTTCCTAGGGCATATAATAAATTTTATCAAAAGCAGCAAGACTCTTTATACTCAGGGATCAATAGAAGTTGCCTATATTTACCTTAAGAAAAACACAATAGGTGCCCACGAATGCCTGCTGAGTGATTCAGAAATATGATATGGATTCATTTTTCCGATAATGCTCAACAAAGCAATTAGATGAGTGTTTTCCAGACACTAAGAAAAATAACAAGTGTTGGCTGATCAACTCTCTCTGATAATCATTGTTCAGTGAGAAAGGCTAGAATGTGATATTTTCTCTGGTAAGCATTCCACCTTTGGGCCGCTCCAATCCAAAGGCCCTCTGTGCTGCTGGTGAATTGACAGAATCTGACAAGCCAGTTTGTATATCTGGCAGCCAGGTGTCTTGGTGTGGGTGAGACAGGAGCTAAAAGATTTGACACATGGGACTATTACTCCCAGATGCTCCCCAAAGGGAAAGAACAATGTTCTTTTAGTGACTTGTTCTTTCAAGATAAGTCCTATGGCATATGAACTGAGATTAGTTAGTGCTCTGAAATGAAGCAATGCATGATGGGTGCCATTTTGTCAGAAAAAATAAGTATTTCTAATGGGCTCTGTTCTATTCCTCAGTGAGAACCAGTGGCCTGTGTCAGGAGGTCATACAAGGCAAATTAAAGAAGAAATCTTCTGATGTGGTGGTAAGGAAGAAAGAGCACACTGAGAATGTTGATTTTATTTTTATTTATTTATTTATAATAATTTTTGTTATGATATATTCATTATATAAGGGGGATTCGAAGTGACAATCCTGATTAGACTTATATTGTACAACATTGCCCCCCATCATTGCTCCCCCTCAACCCTTCCCCATCCCACTTAAAGTAATTGCAAGAGGTTTCTTAGTTCTGCTTCATATAGGTTATATGAAGTCCATCTGCCATACGCCATCACCTTAATCTCTTTCCTTCACCCTCCCTTCTCCCACTAGTACCCCCCCTACGCACACACTGTACCTATTTTACAGTCCTGGAGTTTATTAATATTTAAGTCAATGTTCAAAGAGGTGTCCCAATGTATGCTCACTGTGGGTGTCCTTTACTTTGGTCTGTTCAACCTCTACCATTACTCTTCCTTACCCCTTTACCTCCCACCCAGTTTTTCAACAGCTTTCAATACACATCCTTATATCCTCTACCTTCACATATGTTATGTGATATTACTGATGCTCTATCATTTTCTTTTCCCTTCCCTCTTTCCGAGTTCCATAGAGTAGTTCCATTGTTACAACCACGTTTTACATGTGAGTTTGTATATGATCATGCTTGTTTTTGTGTATGTTATCTTTAGATCTATCTTCCACACATAAGAGAAAATGTGTGGCTTTTGTGTTTCTGATCCTAGCTTACTTTACTTAACATGATGTCATCCAATTGCATCCATTTACCTTCAAACTACATGTCGTTATTCCTTATGGCTGAGTAATATACCACAAATTCTTGATGCATTCATCAGTTGTAGGGCACCTGGGTTGTTTCCAAAGCTTGGCTATTGTGAATAGTGCTGAGATGAACATTGGTGTACAGGTGTCTCTACTGTGTCCTGTCTTTTGTTCCTTTGGGTAGATGCCCAGGAGCAATATCACTGGATCATACGGCAGTTCTATTTCTAGTTTTTTGAGGAATCTCCATACTGCTTTCCATAGTGGTTATACTCATTTGCATTCCCACAAGAAGATGTTGATTTTAAAGAAGTGAAACCTGAGCAAGCTAAGTAGTGTGATAATCAGTAGTACTGTGGCAGGCAGGTATGGTTCTTGCTACAAAAGCCGGTATGGAAAACATAACAGAAGTTAGTATATGTCATGCCAGGGCTCTAATTCTATAGCTTGTTGGGTCTCAACCTTTTTCATGTTAATTGGGAACACTTATCAGCCTGAAGATATTTTTATGCTTATATTTAGGAAACTCTGGTACTTAATTTGAGTTGAATTTAGAAAACATTCTCAATTTGTCAATTCCACAGATCTCTCTGCATTCTTCACATTTTCTGAACATGGGAATGTAATGTTTATCTTCACAATTGAATCCATGTCTCTAGATTACACATTACAGATCAGCAGAACTGGCATTCAAGATATCTAAATCCATGTTGCTACTGGACAATTTAGGACAATTTAGGAAAGGTCACAGATACAAGATAGATATATTTTATTCTGTGCAGATTTTAGGATAAGGAATCTAAGTTGTGACTCTAGGGTCCTCTAGTACTCTTTGTCTTGTAGTCAGCATCCAATAGGTGAGTTTGTCTCTTTTCATGATATAAATTTATTTTATTCCTTTATTCCATTAAATGAAATGATCATTTCTCAGCTGGCAAAAACGAGACATTTTATGTGTTTATTTTTCTTATTGTTACATTTAATCTTCTATCTTCACTTATCAAGTTAAAACAGAAAAAATAGCTTCATTCTATAAAAATACTTTCTATTGTAGATTCTGGTTGAGATAGTCTACAACAATCCTGATAATATTTCAGTTGTCTTAATCTCATCATTTTATATTATATAAACCTGTCTTTTTTGTTGTTGTTGAAACTAGAACTGAAAAAAAAGAATATGTATGACTCCTGGGATTTAAAAACCTGTAATCAATTTAATCAAAGATGCATTACTTTTGCATTGTTCCATATTAAATTTTTGTTGGCCTATAAAATGAAAAAGGCATTTATATTTTTTCAAGAATGAAATATAACCGACCAACTTGCCTGTTAACCTTGCTTATTTATTCATTTTATATCTCACAGATATATTAGTTTCACTTGCTTAATTTTGCTTTGTACATGTGTCAGTTCAATTTATCTTTCAGCCTTCTATCTTACTCTTCCTTGCCCTGTTTTGTGAAAATGGAACTGAACTTTGCAACCATTTCTCCTTTGTCTCTGGCACCATGTAACCTTTGTCAACAAAGGGCACTAGGGGGATACTGAAATAGTATAATGGCAGGAAGATACTTCGTCTCCTAATACTGCTTTTCTACTTTTCAGTAAGTGTGGGAGTATAGTAGCTGCAACTACTGAGAAGTCCTGTGCTTATAGAAGGGGCCAATGTCTCTGGCCAACTTTTCCCCACCTAAGAGCAATTCCTACTAGCTCAAATCTTTGGTAGCTTTTGTGGAGCTCTTATATCCTGACTTTCTGAGATCTGAACATCAGTCTTAGAGAAGCTATCTAAGTCTCTGTCCTTTATTATTCTTCCCTTCAAACCACTGGTAGCAGCTTACTTTTTTGCACCTGCAAATTCTGTTTAGATTTCTCTTTTAGTCCTTTCATTAATTTTTACTAGTTAAAACTTCTTTGTATTACACTTTTTCTATTTAACAATACTGATAAGATTTTTGTTTCCTGACAGGATCTTGACAAATATAAAGTTGTTTAGATGTCTTTTTAGTATGCATACCAATCCACCTAAATAAGTTGTAAATACCCCAAGGACAGGGTGGATCCTTTACTTGTGCACTTTAAATTTTTTAAAAATTCCCTTCAGGATTTCATGAAATGCTCCTTATTTCTTAAATTATTGTGACTGACAATGAAGATGAAAACATGGACATTAAGAGTCTCATCATGTAGTAGAAGAAACAGACATGTGGACAAGTGCCCCTTATTGTATGCTGGGTGTTGCTATAGAGGATGTATAAGATAAGGTGATATAGTGGTACTGTATCTTATGCATGTTGAGTGGAGCTGGAGGTAAAGAGCAAATAGACTTCATACAGAAGTTGTTAGTGAACTGAGTCTTCAAGGATGAGGAGAAGGATGACCCACATAGATTAGGGAGGAAAAGGCTATTCACACCAAAGAAAAGTGTTAAGAGATGTCAATAATATGTAAAGCAAACAAGGCCAGATTGAGGACTGTGTATATTAGTTCAGTACTGGGGTGTGTGTGTGTGTGTGTGTGTGTGTGTGTGTATGTGTTTGGGATAGTAATGTGGGAAGTGTAGGAAGCATGGTTGAGAAGTGCAGAGTGAGGCTGAAAAGATTTTTTATGTCACTGTATAAAGTTTGGATTTTATTTCATAGCCAATTACAAACTCAAAGGACACCACAAAGGATATGAAGATATTAAAGAAGTCAAAAGTTAGTTATTCATTTTATGCACCAAGTATATTGAATACTTTATTATAGGGAAGGGTTACTGAAGGATTCAAATAAATTTAAGTCCTAAATAAATAAATTCAAATTTAAAACTTTTCCCAGAGTTACAAGAGAGGAGATGATCATATATGAAGTTGCTAAAATATTAGAAAGTAAAAGGAAATACTAATTTGAATGGTAATGACCAAAATGTTCCTTGAAGTTTGAAGGCAATAGGTGGTTGAGTAATCGGGATGAAGGTTGAACTTGGGTAGGGCCCTGCAGCCCTGGAAGGACTGCATTTTAGAAAAAGAGCAAAATGAGGAACCTTCTAGAAGAGAGGAAATGTTATCATAGAATGGTTTGGGTAGAAAGAGGGAACCTCAGCTGATAGGGAGTGATGAGAGAGCTAGCTAAGAATATAGGACAGAACTTCTGAAACCCAGAGCATACAGCTTTCTTCCCCCTCCTACAACTATACTGCCTCATTTGTTCTTGCTGAGCTCAAATGCAGCTCCAGATTCTTTCTAAATCTTTTGCCTAATGAACCATTTACAACTGGAGTTTGTCTATGTTATTGTGAAAGTTTTTGACTGATAGACTGTTGATTATAAAGATTTTTCTGATTGTGTAGTTATAGATAATGAATAGAAGGGAGGATCCCCAAGGCAGATGCCAAGAGCTATTGAAATTTACTTTTAAATATAAATTGCATTTCAATTATTAAGAGGCTACAAGTTTCAGCTGTTAGTTTGGAAGATATAAAGAATAATTGCATTGAATTTACACTGATTCTATCTCCAAAACAAACATAGCCATAACACACCAAATGTCATAAATCAGAATGTCATGCTGAAAAAGAATTGTTTCACATTTCCATTCTCCTTAGGACATGTTTGACCTCGGACATAGCAACTCAAAAATCTCCCTGATGGCCTCTTTGCCACTAAAAAAACAGATACTGGTTCCCCGCTCCCATGGTTAAGAAGGAAGCTGGAAGAAATTGCAGAAGAGTTTTCAAAGCTGTGAGTGAACCTTGTCAAAACCCAGAGGAAGAGTCTCAGGGAAACAGAGGTCATGAAATGTCAAAGGTTTGATTATTTTTAAAGTTTTTACTACCTTCCCAGTAAATATTGCTTCAATTCTTCATTCTTACCAGCACATTGTCATTTAGCACCCAATAATTTTCTTATTAAAGCCTGGAGAGTTACTATTTTCAGGGATGGGTGACTTTAACTGCCTTGCTCTCTTCCACAATTTTGCGAAGTATTTCAGGGGACAAAGTTCTCCTCAATTCCTCCCCACCCCTGACTATATTCCCTTTTTATTGTGAAACATAAAACTTTAACTGCAGAGAATCAAATGTACCATAGGAGAAAAATGCCTCATGGCAAAGTGATTGCTCACTAAGCCTAAGTTCTGGACTTGGCTATATGAAGGACTCACTAATTCTCTATACAACTCACTAATTTTTGTCTTGCCTTTTATTCTTAGTAAATGGGAATAAGTTTTTCTCCGACTCTTTGTAGGATTATTATCAGGATGAAATGAAATAATAGACTTTGAGAGTGGCTTTGAAAAATAGAATATTACAGATACCTAAGAACTTCTCTGTTATACTAATTTAGAGTTACTTTTATGATCAAGAGATCTAATTAATGTGTTGGAAAATGTTTTCCTGATGTAACTAGGTGAGTGCATGGCAGTATGTGCTGTGGACCATGTATTTTAGTGGTCAGCACACATGTATAGTTTGCCACTCTGCAAACCACTGATCTCCATGGCTACATCTTCATCTTCATTCATTTACTCATTCAAGTGAATGAGTTTATTACGTGCCTAGTCTGTGCCATTAATTTTTTTCTAAAGAGAAAAGATAATGTATCTTCCTCCACTTGAGTTTGTTTTTAATTTTTTTGAGGATTATTTTCTTTCTTTTTCTTTTTTGGCAGTACTGGGGTTTGAACTCAGGGCCTATACCTTGAGTCACTCCACCAGCCCTTTTTTGTAAAGGAATTTTTTGAAATAGGGTCTTGTGAACTCTTTGCTCAGGCTGGCTTTGAACTGCAATCCACCTGAACGCTGCCTCCTGAGTAGCCAGGATAACAGGTGTGAGCCACTGGAGCCCAGCTTGAGGATTATTTTCTAAAATTGTGCAGTGGGGCTTACTGTGATATTTCCATGGATATATACAATATATTTGGATCATATTTATCCCTAAATTACTCTTTCTTATATTCTCCTTCACATTTTAAAAATATTTTAATGTGTTTCATCACTATTCTGTTTTCATAAGTGTATATAATGTTTTGATCATATTTATTCCCACAATCACCCTCTCTTTTCGGTCTCCCTCTCCTTCTGAATCCTCTTTCCAAAGAGTCCCCCTTTTACATTCATGCCCTTATTTTTGTTTTGTTTTGGTTCTTTAGATCTAGATTCTGTATTTGATATAAAAATTACAATATTTGTCTTTCAGAATGTGGTTTATTTCAGTTAACATGATGATCTCCATTTCCCTGTATAATTTGTGCCTGAATAATATTCAACTATGCCACATTTTCTTTATCCATTCATTTATTTCTTTATCTATTCACTAAGGCTGATTCCGTAGCTTGGCTACTGTGAATAATGCATATCTAATTGTAGGCGACATAAACAAGTGAAACAGCAGCCCGTGAGATGATATTAAGAGTTATAGAGGAAAAGCAAAGCAGGAAAGGGGTATATTGGACAGGGGTGCAAAATCTTATGTATGGCCAACTGGCCAAATGTGGCCCACTGCCTGGTTTTGTAAATGAAGTTTTATGAGAACATAGCCATTTTCTTATTAGCTGCTTTGAGCTAAGTAGTTGAGATATAGACCATCTGGCCTGCAAAACTGAATATATTTACTCTCTGACCCTTTATAGAAAAGTCGATGGTGGCCATTGAAGGTCATTTCAAGTACTTTAAGTTTTACCTTGAATAAAATGGGATGCCATTGGAGGGTTTGTGGAGTAATTAGATGTGACTTATGTTTCAAAATGATTATCCTGGTAACTACAGTGAGAATAGATTGAAATCAGAAGTGGAAACACAGAGACTAGTTCCATAGTGATTTCAGTGGGGTAGAGGATAGAGAATAATCAAGGAAGATAGAGACAAAAATGAAGTGATAAGAGTAAGGTCAACTTCTGGATGTATATTTAAAGATAACACAGGCTAGAAAATAGACAGCCTCTTCAACAAATGTTGCTGGGAAAACTGGTTATCTGCCAACAGAAAACTGAAATTAGATCCATGTCTATCACCCTGTACTAGTATCAACTCAAAATGGATCAAGGGCCTTAATACCCAACCCAAAACCCTGAAGCTAGTATAGAAAAGAGCAGGTAATACTCTGGAAGCAATAGGTATAGGCAAGGACTTCCTCAATAGAACCCCAGCACCCCAGCAACTAAGAGAAAGGATGGACAAATGGGACTACATGAAATTTAAAACTCTGCACAAGAAAAGAAATGGTCTCTAAACTGAAGAGACCACCGACAGAGTGGGAGAAAATATTCATTGGTTATACATCAGACAAAAGACTGATAACCAGAATATATAGCGAGCACAAAAAGCTAAGCTCCTTCAAAATCAATGAACCAATAAAGAAGTGGGCAACTGAACTAAACAGAACTTTATCAAGAGAAGAAATCCAAATGGTCCAAAAACACATGAAAAAATGCTCACCATCTCTGGCCATAAAGGAAATGCAAATGAAAACCACACTAAGATTCTACCTCAACCCTGTTAGAATAGCTATCATCAAAAACACCATCAACAACAGGTGTTGGTGAGGATGCAGGGAAAAAGGAACCCTCATACACTGTAAGTGGGAATGTACGCTAGTACAACCACTTTGGAAAACAATATGGAGAATTCTTAAAACAGTAAATATAGATCTGCCATATGATCCAGCAATCCTACTCCTAGGGATATACCCAAAGAAATGCGACTCAGGTTATTCCATGGCACCTGCACACCCATGTTTATTGTAGCACTATTCACAATAGTCAAGTTACAGAAATAGCCAAGATGACCCACTGCTGACAAATGGATTAAGAAAATGTGGTATTTATACACAATGGGATTGTATTCAGACATGAAGAAGAATGAAATCTTGTCATCTGCCAGTAAATGGATGGAACTGTATCATTGTAAGCGAAGTTAGCCAGGCTCAGAAGGCCAAAAATCTTATGTTCTCCCTCATATGCAGACTTTACACCTAAAACAAATGCAGTAATATTATTGGACATGGGTCACACGCTAAGGGGAGAACACATACAGGAGGAATAGGGAAAGGTAGGAAACCCAAAACTTGAAAGTGTTTGATGTGACACTGTAGAGGAGCTAATAAATTAATCTTAAACTGACAGAGGTCACTATAGGAAGGTGACCGGGAAGTAGTGAAGAGGTCTGGTAGAGATGAACCAATTGGGTTGTAATACACATGTGCATGGAAGCAATGCTAGGAATCTCTCTGTGTAGCTATCCTTACCTCAAACTAGCAAAAACTCTATGTCTTTCTTATTATTGCTTACATCTTCTGTTCAACAAAATTGGAGAAGAGGGCAAAACAGGATCTGCCTGGAAGAGAAGAGGGTAGGGGAGAGAAGGAGGGACAGGAGGCAGGAGGGAGAGATGGCCCAAACAATGTATGCACATATGAATAAATGGATAAATAAACCAAAAAAAGAAACGTAACATAGTAAAGGATTTTGGCATAAACAATTGAAAGGATGAGATTTTCATTAACTAAATGGGGAGGCTACCAGGGAAGCAGGTTTGGGGATAGAAAGCAGCAGTTTGGTTTGTACATAATCAACATAATTGTAATGTGGCCATCAAAAAAGTCATGCCAACAAGACAGATGGCTGTATGAGCCTGGAATTCAGGCATATGGCATAGACTAGGGATAGAAAGAATCAGTTATCAGCATATAGGGAAGGTTTGATGACTTGGATGGGACAAAGTCACTGAAAGACTCTTCCATAGCTCATTGCTCCATTTTATTTTGTTGCTTAGGACTCAAATGACTTTGTATTTGGTGGGCAGATAGCTGAGCTTTTTCTTGTGGTACATAATATGATCCAAGCATATTCTTGAGGGCTGTTTGAACTTTTGTTCTAATCCTACTTACAGTTTGATGTAAGTGGAAAAGGGAGAATTTGGAAATTTAAAAATCATATTGGGCTCAGGTTTGAAAAGCAAAAACCTTGTAAGATGTGTGTCTGCTAAAAGAAGTTAAGATATTCTCAGGACGATTAAAGGGACATTACACTTATTTAAAATTTACTATCCAGGAACTTATAAAAATAATAGTTCATTCCATCCCCCTACCCTTGAATTTGCAAAATTGGGATGTATTTTTATCTTTTTTTTTCCAGATGGAAATTCATTGAGGATGCTTTCTGGCTCTGAATATTTCAACCTCTCTAAGATGAGAAGGAAACTGAAAATAAAATTCTAAATTAGTGCAAACACATTCCATGAGGAAAGGAAGAGTTCACTTTTGGGTCACTCCTAAATTAACATTGTATTTATCAGAACAGGTTGGTCCATCCCAATAATTGGTGTGTTCTTTCCAAGGCTAAGTAAAATTTTGTAAAGCATCAATTTGAAGAATGTATTAGTCATGCAAGTTTCTTTGTATCATAGTGATTATTTTTATTTAAAGTAGGCATATTTATAGCCATGCACTATGCAAGATCAGGAGTCAGAGTGTAAATTGTTAAGCTCTCTTAGTTAAGGTGCATAGATATCATGCATAACTGAGAATAGGCAAAAGACAATGAAATGCACTGACTTGTGTCATCAATCTGGAATAGCTCCATATATCCAGAGCCTGGTTTCTCAACCAGCGCATTATTGACAGTGATCAGAAAATGCTTTGAGGGGCTGTGCGATGCAGGATATTTATTTACCAACATCCCTGGCCTCTAGCTGCCAATAGCAGCTGCTACTTGCTTCGTGGTAACAATAGAAAACGTGTCTCCAGAGATTGTCAAATGATTTCTGGGGCATGAGAAAGACTGACTTAAAGGATACTTTGTGTTTCTTTAGTCTGGCATTGGGAATCCTCTGAAGTTTACCCTCAAACTTTTCCAAACTTTCCCCACTAATATCTGCCTTAAGATGCTTGTTCTACTTACTATTTTCCCTAAAAGTATTGCTGGTATTTGGGGTCCATGTAAATACCCATCCCTTTCCATTATGTAATTGCATCCATTCTTCTAGCCAAGTTCTATCAAGCTTTTAAATCTAATGACATCTTTTCTGCTTCCTGAAACTCCATCAAGTCATAGGGATTAGATTAAACAACTCTAGTTCTTTTGTACTGAAACCAATGAGACCACAGGGGGCATTGTTTGCTCAGGTCAAAGGGGTTACTCTGAGTACAGATAGTGGAACCCCTTCTGAATCTGCTGTGCTTTCCATGTCTCTGCTCCCATTTTACTTTTTCCCAGATCTGAAACTCTTAGAGATTTTGTTCTTATCATACATTGTTGTAATTAGAGTCCAACCCATAGAAATAAAAAAACATGCCATTTAATATGTTGTGAGGTACAAGGTTACTTTCAAAGATAGAGCAGAAGGAAATGATCAGTTAACTTGATAGATTTGTCATAATTTTATACTGTAATAGGAATTGTTTATTTATGGAAGAGGAGTTTGTTTAACTCAATATGTTAAAAGTTTCTTATATCAGCACAGTCCAATAGAAATATGAGATAAATTAATTTGATAATTTCTAGTAGACATTAAAACAATTTTTTTCTTTATTCATTTATTCATATGTGCATACATTGTTTGGGCCATTTCTCCCTCCTGCCCCCTTCCCCCTCCCTCTCCCCCCCACCCCACTCGCTTCCAGGCAGAAGCTAGTAGACATTTTTAAAAGTAAAAAGCAACAAGTGAACTTAATTTTAGTATTATATTTTATTTAACTCATTATATACAAAATGTTATTATTTCCACAGTAATCATAGTTGCTGTGGTTTGAACATGAAACCAATGTTGCAATTCAATCCCCATTGTGAGGCAGTAATCCAACTATGGTGTTCAGAGGTGGGGCCTTGAGAGGTGATTAGGATTAGATGAGGTCACCAGGGTGGTAGTTTTATGATAGAACATTGGTAGCTTTTTTAGAGGAGGGAGAGACTACAGGATACACACACATACACACACTTCCTGTCTCTCACCCTGTGATGCCCTGTCTACCTCTGGACTTTGGCAGGGAGAAAGCACACACAAAGTATGTTTAGACCCCTAGAACTTTGAGCCAAAATAAGCCTTTTGTTTGAAAATTTACCCAGTCTATGGTACTGTTATTAGCAACAAAATGAACTAATTCATAGATATTTTACACTCTTTTGTCTATATCAAGTCTTTGAAATCTGGTGTGTATTTTTTGCACTTATACACACCTAAATATAAGATAATCTTTTCTTTCCCTTCCCTTCCCTTCCCTCCTCTCCCTTCCCCTCTCCCTTTTTCTCTCCTTCCTTCCTTCCTTCCTTCCTTCCTTCCTTCCTTCCTTCCTTCCTTCCTTCCTTCCTTCTTTCCTTCCTTCCTTCCTTCCTCCCTCCTTTCATCTCTCCCTCCCTTCCTTTCTTCTTTTCTCACTTTCTCTCTCTTTTCTTTCCTTCTTTCTTCCCCTACCCCTAGTGCAAAACCCTAGCATTTTATGAATGCTAGACAAGTGCTCTACTGCTGAGTTTACATCCTCCAGCCCAAGTAGCTACATTTTTATGCTGAGTATGCTAACTGCTGCCACATTGTACCTGTGGCCTTCCATGTATTTCTCTGGTCAGAGTGTACAATATGGCAACAATGATGCTGTAGCATTAACATAATAGCAATGATTTATATTTTATCATTTAACTAAAGTGAATCTATTTTTAAATACTGGGTTTGGGATCTGGCAGCACCATTTAGAATACCCTTAAGGACTAGTAGGATTAAGAGGTCTGTAAATGTACTCTGAGGTAGCTTGGTAATGAGACATATTGATGACATTTATTTGGTTATACAAAACACAAAAATAAAATTGTCATCTGTGAAGAATATTTTCATTCTTTAAATTCCTGCAGCAAATGTTAAAATTGACCCATGTAAGGTTTTCTTTGAATAGAAACTCTTAATATTTGAGCAGCTGGTATAATAGATGTCAATGTATGAACCTCATGATTTTGCATTATTTTTAAGGGCTAAATCTAACAAAAGCCTTTCATATGAAAAATAAAAGGTCTAATATTTAATTTATAGTGATTTTTATAAACTGTATAAATTTTACTTAGAGGTTTTTATATGTTAAATATTAATCTCATGTTTGAAATTAGAAAAGTCAGGAATGAATTTGTAAAATTCATTCTCAGAAGAGTCCTGAATTCTCTTTTGATGTCAGCATTTTCAAGGTTCTTTTTCTTGTACACACTTACAACACAGACATAACATTTCATTTGACCCAAATTCAAGACCTAGTTCTTTCAAAAGATTTAGGTAAAGTTGTTTCTTATCTGCACATTGATGTAAGGGCTCCTTCTTGTAAACAGTAATTGCTCCTGTATGACATCAGTTCTTCCTCATTCTAGTTACTTGCTTTTGGAAGGATAACAAAGAAACATAAGAACACACAAAGACACAATCTGGGTGAGGTTACTTAGTTCAAGGACTTTCCTTTATCAGATTCAAAGGAGTATTGTTGCTTCGTTCTTAGATTAGTTTGTTTTTCCTTTAGACAGTGTGAAGACGAAAAAGGATTAGAGGGAGAAGAGGCTTGGTACTGATATTCTTGAATTCATATATTGTGTTAAGCATTATATCAGGTTATTTACATGAATAATTTCAATCTATAAAACTTTTCTGAATTAGATATTATTTTTAGCTCTAAACCTCAGTTGTAAAGATGAAGAAAATGAGCACTGGAATGGTTGAATAATTTGACTGAGGTCTCAGAGTTAACACATCTTGGAGTTGGAAGTCAGCTTATTTTCCCTACTGCAGCATATGACCATGAGTCACATCATAGAATAACCTATGTGCAGTTCATGAATAGTAAATCTAACTAAACTTAAATAGATAAATATAGTGTGTGGTAGATCTGACTTAAACCAGCTTGTAACAGGTGCTATTCAAATTTCCAAGTGCCAGTTGTTGCACATAGACATTTAAGAAATAAAATTCTATAAAGAATTATAAATTGTGTTAAATATGAAGGTCAATAAAAATTCAAAATTCTTATCTCCTGAATTTTTTCTATATTCTACCATTATCTGTGCACCTGAGGTTATTTCTGCTAATTGTGTCTACATGCACCATGATGTGTGATTCTGCAACTGCACATTCAGTGACTTCACATTTGGCTCCCACCTCACGAGAACAAATCCTTAACATTTGCCAGCATGTCACTGTGCACAGCTCTTACAAGAATGTGCGTACTTCCATTCTTTTACACTTTTCAATTCTATGAATTCACAAGTATTCAGCACATAGTTAGCACTCACTGTCTGCCAGGTGTTGCTGTATGTGCTTCCATAAACATTATTTGATTCGCATCTCTTAAATAACTGTAAGATAGATATCATTCTTCCCATTCTAGAGATTAAAAAATGATTTAAGTAGTTAAATTTTGAAGGCTGTACTAGTAATTAGTAGAGCACAATTTACTCAAAACTGGGTAGGTCTATACTTCACAACACCACAACTGCTGTGACTTGTCTTGGGGACAGCCCACAACAGGGCTATAGTCAAGGGAAAACTTTTTATTAAAGCCCTGCTACTTCTGTGTCAGTTTTTACTATTGCTCTATTCATTTGTGTGAGTAATCAAATAATTTATGTGAATTCAACATAACAGTCTAGAATGTTGAGTAGAAAAATGAAGTCTGGAGTAGAAGAGGAGTTGAGAGGGAAAAGGACCAAACAAGTGGCAATAGAGAGTAGCAATCTCAGTATAGGAAAATATTTATAAAGTCCTTGTACTTTAACCTAAGCCTTAAATTGATTATGGTATGGGATGAAATTCTGATATAATACAGAGTTTAAACCTTTCAAAGATGAATTTGAGAGAGGCTTAAATGGTGGCAATTAGTTTGCATTATTTTTCAGTAGGTAATTTTATAGATTGATAGTGAAACTCCAGAAACTCAGTGGTTTAGTTGGTTTTTTTTATTTATTTGGGACTGTAGCCCAGCTTATAATATTCCTGCCTCCACCTCCTGAGTAAATGCTGGGACTACAGACAGGTACTGCCACACCTAGCTAATATTATGGAAGGTATCATCTATGTGTCAGACAAGAAGTTTTTTATTTTCTTGTGGTGCTGGGGATGGAACCCAGGCTTTGCAGATCAACAAGAGCTCTGCCACTGAGCTACATCCTCAGCCTCTCTCAGTGGTTTCATACCATACCCCTAAGTGAACAAGGTATTCTTTTTACTCATATCATAATGGGAAAATCAGGTGTTAGTGGCTTAATGATCTCCAACCATACTTTAGGAAGCCAAGCTGCTTCCATTTCATGATGACTCCATTTCAGAGTCAGTGGAGAGCTTGTATCTGTTCTTTGCTGCCTGAGATCAGACTTTCATTCATGTTTTTACTAGTGAGAATTAAACCTAACTTCAGGGAA